AAGCTCTGCTTGTTTGGCACAACTATTCATTTTTACCGAATAAACAAAGTTGGAAGGTAGGAAGAGGAATAATTTCCAGTTCAAGTGTGTTAAGCTGTGGATATACGTAGAACTGCGGAGGAGAATGCAAGAACGTTTAGAAGTGTTGTCTTGAGGAGTAGATGTGATCAGGCCACGTTCGCACAGACCAACAAACTGGCCGGTAAGAGTTGAGAGACGGGGCCAGGAGTTACAACAACCCTTGGAAACAATTAGTCAAATATACACACACACACATTATGAACATGTTTGGAGTGATAGGAGGAATCTGCAAAACACTGGTCATAAACCCGCCTGCACTCAGTGCTTGGATACCGCATTTTCATCGATTTGTGATCACTAACATTCTACAGTCATTGTATTGATGTTTGTGTCAGACTTGAAATATTTTGTGCATACTGTCTCTGGCTGGTGCTTAACAAACCGGAGCTCGTCTCCCTGAAACGATGGGGGAATGTTGCATGCAACATACAGTGTGTGTGTGCGCGCGCGCGCGTCTGCGTGCGTGTCTGCGTGTGTCTGCGTGTGTGTCTGCGTCTGCGTGTGTCTGCGTCTGCGTGTGTCTGGGTCTGCGTGTGTGTGTGTCTGCGTGTGTGTCTGCATGTGTGTGTGCATGTGTGTCTGCGTCTGCGTGTGTCTGTCTGCGTGTGTGTCTGTCGTCTGCATGTGTGTCTGCGTGTCTGGGTGTGTCTGCGTGCGTGTCTGCGTGTGTGTGTCTGCGTGTGTGTGTCTGCATGTGTGTGTGTCTGCAGTGTGGTGTCTGCGTGTTGTGTCTGCTGTGTGTGTCTGCGTCTGCGTGTGCGCGCGCGTCTGCGTTTGTGTCTGCATGTGTGTGCGCGTCTGTGTGTGCGTCTGCGTGTGTGTCTGTGTCTGCGTGTGCTGCGTCTGCGTGTGCGTGTGTCTGTCTGTCTGTCTGTCTGTCTGTCTGTCTCTCTCTCTCTCTCTCTCTCTCTCTCTCTCTCTCTCTCTCTCTCCTCTCTCTCTCTCTCTCTCTCTTCTAAGAATTCTTAAACGTTTGAGCAAAGCATTTTAGAAACTAATGGTATTAGAGTACACATAATGTGGCGAAGATATTGTAAATATAATGGAAGTAAACAGAGCGTGTGACTGTCATCAGTGGTTGACACGCATACCAGTGAGGTGCAGGTGTTTTACACGAAGGTATTCGATAATCTGCGCACCACGCGTCTCCCACACCTCTCGTGCCTCAACGAAGGTAGCTGTATTTACAAAGTGTTCTGACCCACAAGATAATTCAATGCACTGGACATAAAAGTTAAACAACTATACACACTAACACTTGCAAGCCAAAATTAAAACACAAAATGTATCACTCAAGCCAAGCAGTATACCAAGTATTTCAAGGAAACAGCAAATCATTAAAGGGATATCGTGCGGGATGGTGAAATTTGTTCAGTAGGAGTACAGAGAATGTGTGTACTCGCCTATTTGTGGTTGCAGGGGTCGAGACATAGCTCCTGGCCCCGCCTATTCAATGATCGCTACCAGGTCCTCTATGTATGGCTCCTGCCTCCACTACATCGCTTGCCAGACTGTTACACTTCCTGACAACTCTATGACTAAAGAATTATTTCCTAACATCTCTCTGACTCATCTGAGTCTTCAACTTCCAATTATGACCCCTTGTTTCTGTGTCCCATCTCTGGAACATCATGTCGCTGGAACATCCCGTCTCTGTCCACCTTGTGTATGTGTGTGGTGTGTGTGTGGTGTCTGTGTGTGTGGTGTGTGGTGTGTGTGTGGTGTGTGTGTGGTGTGTTGTGGTGTGTGGTGTGTGTGGTGGTGTGTGTGTGGTGTGTGTGTGGTGTGTGTGTGTGTGTGTGTGTGTGTGTTGTGTGTGTGTGGTGTGGTGTGTGTGTGTGTGTGGTGTGTGTGTGGTGTGTGTGTGTGTGGTGTGTGTGTGTGGTGTGTGTGTGTGTGTGTGTGTGGTGTGTGTGTGTGTGTGTGTGTGTGTGTGTGTGTGTGTGTGTGTGTGTGTGTGTGTGTGTGTGTGGTGTGTGTGTGTGTGGTGTGTGTGTGGTGTGTGTGTGTGTGTTGTGGTGTGTGTGTGTGTGTTGTGTGTGATGTTGTGTGTGTGTGTGTGTTGTGTGTGTGGTGTGTGTGTGTGTGTGTGTTGTTGTGTGTGGTTGTGTGTGTGTGTGTGTTGTGTGTGTTTGTGTGTGTGTGTGGTGTGGTGTGTGTGTGTGGTGTGTGTGTGTGGTGGTGTGTGTGTGTGTTGTGTGTGTTGGGGTGTGTGTGTGTGTGTGTTGTTGGGTGTTGTGTGGTGTTTTGTGTGGTGTGTGTGTGTGTGTGTGTGGTGTGTGATTGGTGTGTGTGATGGGGTGTGTGTGTGATGTGTGTGTGATGTGTGTGTGTGTGTGTGTGTGTGGTGTGTGTGTGGTGTGTTGTGTGTGGTGTGTGGTGTGTGTGTGTGTGTGTGTGTGTGTGTGTGTGTGTGTGTGTGTGTGTGATTGTGTGTGATGTGTGTGATGTGTGTGTGGGGATTGTGTGTGATGTGTGTGTGTGGTTGTGTGTGATGTATGTGTGTGATGTGTTGTTTTGTGTGTGTGTGTGTGTGTGTGTGTGTGTGTGTGTGTGTGATGTGTTTGGTGTGTGGTGTGTGTGGTGTGTGTGGTGTGTGTGGTGTGTGTGTGTGTGGGGGTGTGTGTGTGTGGTGTGTGTGTGTGGTGTGTGTGTGGTGTTTTGTGTGGTGTGTGTGTGTGTGTGTGTGTGTGTGTGTGTGTGTGTGTTGGTGTGGTGTATGTGTGTGGTGTGTGTGTGGTGTGGTGTGTGTGTGGTGTGGTGTGTGTGTGTGTGGTGTGGTGTATGTGTGTGTGTGTGGTGTATGTGTGTGTGTGGTGTGGTGTGTGTGTGTGGTGTGGTGTATGTGTGTGTGTGTGGTGTGTGTGTGTGTTGGTGTGTGTGTGTGTTTGATGTGTGTGTTTTTGATGTGTGTGTGTGTTTGATGTGTGTGTTTGATGTGTATGGTGTATGTTTGATATGTAAGGTTATATTTTTTTGGGATGTGTATAGTGTAAATGTTTGATGTGTATAAATGTTTGATGTGTATGGTGTTTGTGTTTGATGTGTATGGTGTTTTTTTGTGTATGTGTATGTTTTTGATGTGTATGGTGTATATGTTTGATGGTATGGTGTGTGTGTTTGTGTATGGTGTATGTGTTTTGATTGTGTGTGGTGTATACGTTTGTGTATGGTGTATGTGTTTGATGTTTTATGGTGTGTGTGTGATGTGTACGGTGTATATGTTTGATGTGTATGGTGTATATGTTTGATGTGTATGGTGTATATGTTTGATGTGTTGGTGTACATGTTTGTGTATGGTGTATGTTTTTGATGTTTTATGGTGTGTCTGATGTGTCGGTGTATATGTTTGATGTGTATGGTGTATGTTTGATTGTGTATGGTGTATATGTTTGATGTGTATGGTTATATGTTTGATGTGTATGGTGTACATGTTTGTGTATTTTGGTGTATGTGTTTGTGTGTATGGTGTATGTGTCTGATGTGTACGGTGTATATGTTTGATGTGTATGGTTTTATGTTTGATGTGTATGGTGTATGTGTTGATGGGTATGGTGTATGTTTGATGTGTATGGTGTATGTGTTTGATGTGTATGGTGTATGTTTGATGTGTATGGTGTATATGTTGATGTGTATGGTGTATGTTTGATGTTTTATGGTGTATGTGTTTGATGTGTATGGTGTTATGTTTGATGTGTATGGTGTATGTGTTTGATGGTATGGTGTATGTGTTTGATGTGTATGGTGTATATGTTTGATGTGTATGGTGTATATGTTTGATGTGTATGGTGTATATGTTTGATGTGTATGGTGTATATGTTTGATGTGTATGGTTGGTATATGTTTGATGTGTATGGTGTATATGTTTGATGTGTATGGTGTATATGTTTGATGTGTATGGTGTATATGTTTGATGTGTACGGTGTATATGTTTGATGTGTACGGTGTATGTGTTTGTTGTGTTCGTTCGCGCGCGCGCGTGATGAAAGGGGTCAAGTAAGACGTGCCTGTGACTGGCTTCCAGGGTTCTACCATCCTTACAAGCCCGGCTTTAGGCCTGAATTCCTTGTTGACTGTCTTAGTGAACCTTAAAACCTGACAGCAATGACAGAGAAGCAAATAAAATAAACAAACGATTTATAAACAAATGTACCTTACGGTCTTGCAGAACGCATGACTTGACTGCCTGGAATGGAATTATTTCAGCAGCTGCCCTCCACGAGTACAGACAGACATGGTAATACACCACATTCACTATTACTGGAACATGGTAAACAGGCAATATTTCTACAATATACCCTAAGTAAAGGCTAACATTATGCTACAACAGATGCTAAAGAGGAACAAGAAGCAAAGAAACGTGAGTGAACGTCCCCGAGACGTTAGGAAATTAGTTTTCAGTCTCAGGGTAGTAGGGAAGTGTCAGGAACTGGATCTGGAATTAATGAGGGAAAACTCAATATAAAATGTTAAGACCCGCTGTGCTGTATGATCCGAGAAGGTTTAGCGTTTAATACAAAAATTATATAGTAATGCTGGTTGACGTAGATAAAGAACAGGGCCAGAAGCTAAGACACAACACCATCAGGACACACGCTGTTTATTAATTTACCTATAGTGTTTAAACTAATTAAAAAAATATGAAGATATTATCAGTTATTCATCGTGTGGAAATAAATTACATATGCCTGACTACTCCCGAGTCAAGGGCGGTATCTGACCTCCGCTATCAGCTGATCCAGACGTGATAGTATCTAGCATTCATGACGTCATCTTCCCAGCGATGTTTATTGGCGCACGTGAGTACATTAATACCCCAAGCACACGAAGCTTTCGCTACCACACTAATGTCTTTCTTTGTTAAGACTCCTAATTGCCCTTAAAGTTAATCCCTTTATAATTATACATGAGGTACTCACATTCGGTAGGAGTTAATAGCCTTAGACATAGTTGCGACGTAGGCTGACCCAGGTCATCAGCGGCAAGTTCTTGATGTCTTGACCTTGGCCTTGGCACTGCCGGTAACAGTTCTAATAGTCTTTCTTAACCCGAGTGTCTTGGGCCGGGAGTTGGAAATGTGGCAGGCAGGGACTGGCAGCCCACAAGCCAGCGAAAGCCTAGCCACGTACCCAGAAGCAAGCTTAAGGAAGGGGGCAGCAGGAGGTAGTAGTGATAGGCGGGTATTGATCAAGCCACCACCAACCACACACACAATCAATGATGGTTGATAAGTCGAGCAGCCTGGCCACTCCAGCACTCCCACCTCGCACCCTGCCACTAACCATCCTCCTGAAGTATATATAAACCTCTTCCCTGGGGCAAGGTTCAGGTCAGGGCTCCTCACCAACCACTTTGGGTAGTCATCATGAAGACTAACCACCTGCTACCACTCCCTAATATCACAGCCAAGACTATGCTACTGGCACTGGACGTTACCCCAGAGATGCTAGAAAGAGATATCAAAGTATTTGGCTAGAAAGGGCGTGACAAGGACTTTAGTTTTTTCGGCTTAAATGTCTAATAATGGCTGGCTACAACTCTATTACAGCGAGGTGAGCCGACTTGCGCCTCGCCAACAACACTCGATACAACCCGAGAGCCAATACACACCGCACTACACCTCGAATCACAGAATGAATATGAGCAGGACGGAGCAGAAATTGTGGTACCGTCCGAGCAGCTACCGCACGCCTGACTGAGGGGCGACGCCCCCGTTTACTGGGGAGGTGCTATAGAGGAGGCGGGACTGAGGCAAAGGGGGAGGATCTACAAAGACAGTATGACTCACGCGTCAATCACCACGGCCTTGGTCACCCTAGACGAGGAGTGTTACTCGGTAAGTTATCCAGCAGGGTGACCACCTGCGCAGCTGGAGGAGCTGGCGTCTAGGAAGGCGATGGTGTGGTGACGGCCACGATAACGTAGTGGCCTCACGTCCGAGCGTGTTGGCTGCCGTCGCTCGCCATGCGTTTCCTATCATCCTATCGCTCCCACCCTATAACCATCTCTGCCTCCAACTACCGCCCCACTAATCAACATCTGCATGTCATTAAAACTCTCGCTAGTGTACATTCATAGAGAAGTGTGGGTGTGGCGTGGGCGTGGAGGGGGTCTCAGGGAAGATGTAGTGGTGGCGACGGCAGCAGTTTGGGAGCAGCAGCAGCGATCAATACAGCAGCAGCAGCAGCGCCGCACACAAACACACACAAACTCCCCTCTCATACCCCCCCCCCCACCTTCCCGTCTTTCAGCCACCATGTGCCGCCACGCACAACAACACTACGCCCCCCCCCAACACACAGCATACTTTACAACACCATTTTCTCCTGGTTACACAAAAGCTTCACATTCTAAACTTATCCTACATACACGTCCGTCTCGGATCATTCTCATAATACTATCAGCCTAGTACTAAGGATAATCATCAATGACATGACCAACTCATTTTAGTGTATGTTAATATAGTGTATGTTAATACAGAATATCGTTTAGTAGTGAGAGAAGATACGGCACTGGAACAATCTTTCCAGCAGGATCTCCGTCACTTTCCTTAACCCAGTGAATGTCAAGGCCGAGGCCATCCTCCCTGTGTGCCACGCCCCTTCCAGTCTCGTGCCAGAATGATGCCTCCTACAGCCCTCTCCCTCACCCACCTTCCATCATACAGTCCACTCCCTCAAACACATTTTCCTCACCCACTCTCCCCTCTCACTGTCCGCTCCCTCACCCACTATCCGCTCACCCAACCCACCCACTATCCCCTCACCAACCCACCCACCCACTATCCCTCACCCAACCCACCACACTATCCCCTCACCCAACCCACCCACTATCCCCTCACCCAACCCACCCACTATCCCCTCACCCAACCCACCCACTATCCCCTCACCCAACCCACTCACTACCCCCTCACCCAACTCAACCACTGTCCCCTCCCCCAACTCAACCACTATCCATCCCCTCACCCAACCCACTCCCTCATTCCCCACTCAAACACCCCCCCCCTCACCCACAAACCCACCCTCCCTTACACCGTCCACTCCTTCACCCACCGACCCTCTCCCGCACACTATCCACCCCATCAACCACCCTGCCTCCACAGCATTTGACGGGGCACCACATCACAGATAAGTCAAGAAATTATAAAAACAAGCAGGAGTTAGAGTGCACCAGTAGATGTGAGAACACCTGAAAGACAAAACTGAATAACAGGAAGAGAGGAGACATCAGAATGGTAGAGTAAAAAGTGGAGTCTACACATGGGTTGTTACTAGTACTGCTTCTGTTACGCTTGCGCGCGTGTGCGTGTGTTAGCTACTGACATGGTAAAACAAACGAGAAGGATTTAAACAAAACATGACATAGATGGATTCCAGGAAGATCGAGTCAGGTTGTAACTGTATTCCAACAAATGGCTGCTGGAGTTCAGTTGAAACATTTACAAAGTGGACAAGACCAAGGAAGCTCCGACACAGTACAGCAAAGGAGCACAATGGAAAATGACGAAACCCCTTAACAGCATTTAGAAACCTAACAAGGACTTTTTCAGAGCTTTATTCACTGCATATATTAGGTCAACAATGGGGTATGTGGCCGTAATATAGAACCTACACCTGATCAAGCACACGTGCATAAAGCCCAGGTAATCAAGCTAGTTCCATCAGTGCAATACACTCGCGAAGCTTCATATTCATAAGAATTGCAAAAAAGGTCGTAATGAAATGTAATAAAAAATGCTGACTAATACCGTTACTCAATTTTAGGCCAATATCGAATCTGATCAGCAATGGGATACCAGTTTTTTTGGCCAATGGCAATACTCAATTTAAAGGCGATGCTGATATCAAAAGTAGCCATTACCCACAGATACCAATAATTTGGCATACCCAATTATCAAGTGCCTTAAAAATCCTATGGCGATGAATTCTCGACACTGGAGACACCACACAGTCATTAAAAACTGCTGATACAGCCTCACGCCACAAAAGAGGCAATAAAGCAATCGCAAAACATACAGCCCAAAAGCACTGACATACATCAAAATCTTTAAGAGTTAAGAAACAAGATTTCTAAACACAATGATTCATATTTTTTCCTTTTTACACAGATCAATTTTACAGGCTAAAAACTATTATCCTGTCTTAGCTCATTTCAAAGCCAAGACCTATCCGAGGTATACCCCCCTGGGATGCCACCCACAACAGTCGACTAACACCCAGGTACCTACTTACTGCTTGGTGAACAGGGGCAGCAGGTGTAAGTAAGCATGCCCAACGTTTCCACCCGGCCAAGCCAAGGGTATATGTTTGATGTTAGAGCATATATTAGCTTAGAGATTTGCTGCTCCCCTATGGATGCAACTCTCAAATTCTAGTATCGTCTGCAAAGGATGTGTGTGTAATTATTTATATCTATCAGAATTGTGAACAAGAAAGAAATGGACGAGTGCTATGACTTCATAATAAAATTTTCACAATGGCAGCCTCTGATTTTACCTTGCTGACCCTTCTCTTTGGGGTTTATTTGATAAAAAGTTAAACATCTATTGGCTCACTTTTCTATTTATTCTTTTTGCACATTTTGTGAACTATTTACACTATAAAGTCTCAAAGGCTTTTGCAATGTTTATGTATACTATAGAACAGCTACAATTTGTCCGTTTTAATGCATCTAAGACCATGTAATAATCCAGCAATTAATCTAAACACGTGATTACGACGTAGAAAATTTTAAGAGAAATTGGCAAGGCAGATAAGGATAGACTGATCGAATTAAAAGGACAAGTGAACATTGGTGGAAGATATATAGCCTCCCTCCCTCACACTGCTCTCTCCAACCCTCCCTTTTATAGTAGCCTCTCCGTCATTCACCCACTGTCCTTCACACTGCCCTCTCTCTCACCCATTCACTACTCCCTATGCTGTCCTATCATGAAAGGTAGCCACAATCGCAATATTTGTGGCAGATTTATATGTCACCTAAATCTGGTATTTTCTTTTGGCATGGCGCGTGCTGGTCTAGTGCAAGTGCGTGTAAACATTACCTTGCATTGAAGAACGCAGAGTGGCTGACGGTGCCAGTGCGCTAATGAAGGCATGTGGGCGTGGCAGTGAGAGCACCGCGGTGGGAGCCACCATCCTTGTCCTGGATAAACATCCCCCGAGACCATGATTAGGAACCATCCGCATCTTCTCTCAAGGGGCCCCCACGACCACTCCACCCACACTATCTCTGAAGAAGGGGGCTCTATGACCCCTTCACCCACATTATCTAATCTCTCAAGAGGGGGGGGCGGAGATGAGGTCCTATGAACCTTCCACCCCCCCACCATCTCTCAATGTCCTATGACCCCCCTTCCTTGCATTTCCTGTGCAACATGGCTATCTTTCGTTCCCACTGTGTAATTATCATAAAGAACAGGGTAGCAGCATAATGCTGATGTATGCAATTTTGCTAATCTATAAAAAAATCACAGAGCATTCAGAGCTTGAAGAACATGCATCACAGCTCTATTAAGTCAGTGATGCCGTGAACTTGTTCTCCCAAGATGACGACTAGGTAGGTACCTCACCATTCCTACGTCGTTTTCAAAATGATTTTAAAATTTGAATCACATGACACTCTCTGAAGCTATAATCCACAATTTTACACATTCCTCATCCATCCGCACCATACATGTACTATTATTTTGCCCTCTGCACTTTTTCTTCTATACAGGCAGCCTCCGCTTTACAGCGTTTCGCTAATACAGCAGTTTTCAATTATACCTATTCTGCATTTATTCAGACTTCCTACAATAAATATATTCACCACTCAGTATAAGCTAAGAACAATATTATTTCAAGTAATGTGTGTACTGTATATGTATTTTGTAGGCCTAATTCTAATACTCACTATATGATAGTGTAGACATGTTATCAGGTTTTTATATGCATTTGAAAGTGAAGAAAGTGTGTTTCACTTTACAGCGATTTTAGCTTTACAGTAGCCCAAAACCTGCTGTATAAACGGGGCCCTCCTGTACACCTACCTCTGCTCTTTTTAACGCCGCCGCTATTACCAGAGGAAGGGTGTACCATTTTACCAGTCTTCCACTTCCCAAGTCAGGACGGGAAGGGACGGGGGCGCCATGAGAGAAGAAAATTGTTGAGACAAACTGGATGTGCCATCCTGGCGCTAGCATCTGACCAGATGAAGATTTGCGAAATACTGGAAACACCTGCCTAGCAGCAATCAATACACCTGTCACAGCATATACAGGATTCCGGTAAGTCAAGCTCTTTAACAACATATCCTCAATATTTCAGAATGCTAAAGCATTCTGAAATATTGAGTGATGTAACAAAATGAGCAATCAGTGAGCCCAGAGTCAAGTCTAACCCAGAGTTGGGGTGTGGCACGTCTACTCATCCCGGGTCTCTCCATCTGGCGGTGACCAGGTCAACCTACAACACAACAATCCCCATGGCTCATTTTCAGGTATCATTCAGGTAAAATAGCAGGATAGAGGACCATAGTATAGAAACTTGTCATTCCCTGCATAGCCTAGAAATCATTATATCACTGTTTCACAGATCCCCAACTAAAACAAACGCGCGCGAACACACTATTTGATTCACGAAATCGTTATAACACAACTGCAAATAAATCAGGGAACGGGTGAAGTCTGAACCAGTGGAAGGTGAATCCTAAAACTCAGGTCAGTGTGCTAACCACTTGGCCAACTGAGTAAGATTCATCCAACTAGG